AAGGCAGACGCTCAACCAACTGAGCCTACCCAGGGGCCCCTCATTCTTCCTTCTTAAAGATGGTTTTGCATAAAGTTATTCTAAGATAATCAAGACCTGCTAGAATCCAATTTTTATTGGATTAAATGGGTGATATCATATTTTTAAAATTGTTTTCAGGAGATAGATACTGGGATGTCCTGATATCCTCATCTTTTACCCAGTGTTGTCTACATGGATTACCTCATCAATTTCTTTTCTAGACAGTGTATTAAACAGTATAAATAATCAGACTTAGCAGATGATAGTGATTCTTTATTACCAGACGCCAGTGTGTATATTTTTCATATTTGTCAGGAATAACATTATCTTTAATCGGATTCTCCAGTTGAGCTTGATATGATTTGTTTTCCTACATTTTGAAGTAGGAAATGCCTTTAAATACAACTATTCAAATGATAATTAATAGTTTCACTAAGCCTAGACTGAAAATTAAGTTAAACAAAGAGAATGAATTTTTAGTAGATGTAAATTTATTATTACATATCATAATAAATAGTTTTGCAATTTATTTCAGAAAAGAGAATAATTAAATTGATTCCCTAGACCCGTTGTTGAGTTGAACTGAAAATAATGCCTATAGCTTGCTATAATAACGTTATCCTTTGATTGTTAATTGTCTCTTTACACTATTAAACTGTAAATGATTTAGCAGTTGATCAAACTAAACTAGTAAAGTTTGGAATACAGCCCTTTGAAGGATATTTAAAACTATGTACCCACAATTAAGGGAGTGGTGAATTGCCATTAGAGAGAAAAAAATCAAAAGACAAGACCAAAAAGTCAGCAACAATTGAAATTTAAAACGATGAGATACTAAGAAAAGGAAGAATGAAAAATGAACCCCAATAGTAAAGGAGAGCTAGGGAGTGGACTATGAAAAGAGTGTACAGCCTTTGAACAAAACAAATTAAGATTTGAATATGAACTCTGCCCCAGACCAGTTATTTAACTTCTCTCTCTCTCTGACAAACAAATAAATAAAATCTTTATTTAAAAAAGGGGTATCATATGTAATCATTTCAGACTTTTCATTTATTATATTGCTAATATTGTGTGTTGCTGCATATTATTCATGTTGGCTGCTATGTATTATTCCATTGGGTAATTATCCACTTCTCATTGTTGAACATTTGG